AAGGACACGTGAAGATCGTCATTTAAAATTTCGGACTGATCTACATTTTTGATGAGTATAAATGGTTTGCACCATACTATATATAAATACAGAATTTCGTCGAATTTGCCTATTATTTATTACATTATCGTTAATTTAACCCGAGGTTCAGAGCATAAATTTATAAACGCATAGAATTAATATTATTGGAAGACAGTTTTGCAATATGGTTTTTGTATTTTATCACGTTATAGCAATTTACTAAGAGATAAGGTAACATGGTCTAAAATTTCTAAGGTTATATTTTCAGTCCCCACTATTATTAAATTTGGGGTCCTGCGTTACAACGCCATAGCATATCTATGATAGAATCCGAAATTCAAACTAATCCTCATGAAAAAATTAGAATTTAATCATTTTTCACCAAATATTGAATGTTTGTTTAGTACATGTATACATAAAAAACTCCAATCACAAAATTCGCAAAATATTAGATTAAGTGAATAAACTTAAATAATTAACTCTATAAATTCTATTTTCATCTATATAAAAAGTGAAGTGTGCGATAATTTTCATCTATATAAAAAGTGAAGTGTGCGATAATTTTCATCTATATAAAAAGTGAAGTGTGCGATAATTCAAGTATAAATTGTCGTACGGTTACCCGAATATTACTAACAGGTCCAAGTACTGTCTCTTGCCGATGGTGCTACGCGTTCCTTATACCAATCATTGCCATTTCCTAGACATTCACCAACAGTTTGCAAGTTGTAGCCGGATTGCGTAACGAAATCAATAGCAAATGGTCCAACAATATTAACAGTGTCTGGTCTTGTGTCATGATTTAAAGCGATATGCGGATTCGGTGATGGTGAATTCGAAATAGCATCACGATACACTTGCTCCGACTGTGCAGCTGTGTAACCGAGACTATCGTTACTATCAATATCCCAAGTGATGATATATTCGTATCCAAGACTTCCGAGTATATTAAGAACGCGACTATCATAATTGCCGTATGGCGGACGAAGATATTTAGGTACGACGCCTACAATTTTGCGGAGTGCAGTTTCGAGTAAAGTTATTTGCGATCTGATGTCGTCGTCTGAGAGTTCTGTCAGAGATGGGTGAGACCAAGTGTGATGAGCAAGTTGATGCCCTTCGTTGACGATACGTTGGATTATGCTGGCGTTATCGTAAATACAAGCGTAATTCCTTCCGTTAACAAAGAATGTAGCTTTTTGACCCTTGCTTTTGAGAGTATCGAGAAGAGTATTTGTCTCCTATAATTTATCAATAATTAATAGGGTTATAAAAATTGCCGGAATAAAAAAATTCGATTATACATACGCCAACTGGTCCATCGTCAAATGTCAAAGCAAAACTATTGGATACCGTGCACCTATTGTAAACAGTAGCTGTGACCATTTGGACCTCAGCGGTGCTTCCACTGGTATTACCATCGGTAATAACACCTCCGGCAGTACATGTTCCGAAGTCACTTTGGCAACCAGTTCCACAATAATCGTCGGTGGTACCACAGTAACTAAATTTAAAAAAATCGTAAAATAATTCATCCAATTAAACTTGCGTTTTGTTAAAGAATATCGATATAAGAAATTAATTACCCATATTGTGAACAACATTCATTATCACTACATTCTAGAATAATGAAAGGAAAAAATAAATACGAAAAGCCCAATTTAAAAAGCTATTAAGAAGGACAATTTATTGTATTCTTACGTCCGTTTGGATTTTGACTTCCACATTGCTGTGCATTAACAAAGGTTGAAAGTAGAATAACAGAGGATAAAATAGCTAAACCTTTAAATTTGCCGAACATGTTTTTAACAAATATCAGGGAAGTGAAAACGAAAGTTCAAGGAGAAATATGATAAAAACAAATAAGGGTAACAAATAACCACACAAGACAAAGGTATAAAACGTCTTTATTTATACACTTTTCTTAAGCAACATAGAGCACTGACTCCAGTGTCTCCCATGTTGTGTACCCGTCATAAAAAAGACAAGAAAAATATAACTGTATAGAATAACTATTGTAAGCTTTTTTAATGTATACTCTTGAAACTGGCACTGTAAAATTCATTTAAAAGTGACTTTAGAGAGGCTATAACAATCAACATTATTTTTCTCCACAGCATCACTATTTTTTAAAAAATACGATTTTGCGTTACTAAACAATAAACCAAATTTATTATTACCAATTACAGTCGTCCCTCCCCATAATCACATTCCTCGGGACCGAAAAAAACAAGTGTAATTACAAAACGTTATATGATGTGACTATAAGGGAGGATTTCTTTATAAGTTTATTAGTAGGTAGTTCCAAATGTAATGTGATATAAAGGAGGTGTGACTAAGGGAAGTTGACTGTACGGGGACGGCTGTATATAATAACGTAATAATAATGATATAAGTTAATATTATCTCAAACCTTTAAATAAATATGTACGTTCATATATAAACCAAAGCACGCAATCACTAAAGAGTGATCTAAAAAGTGTACTAAAGATTGTATCTATTGTCTAAATAATTAGTATGATCAAATTATTGTTATATGGTGCATAACAGTTAAACTCATCAATAGATTGTATTTTATAAACTTCTTTACTAAGAAGCAAAATTAATTTCAATTCAAAATGATGAAGTATATTTTATTTCTAAATATTAATTAATATTAATATTAATATTAATATTAGGCTCTACGAGTGGCAGTTTGTAATTACTATTTTTTCTTTGGTGGTGGTGCAAAACAGATTTTGATTTAAGTACATATTCATGATGAAATGCCTCCAACATAATAAGACACTATTAGAACAACATTTGTTGACAAAAGAAAAACATTAAAGATGATGGTAATCATTGATCGATATCGATATTACCTGTGCTACCTTTGGAGAAGATTTAAACCTATAGTTAGTACATGTACAAAAGTTTCACCGTGAATTTCGATTTATTCATTTTGCAGAAGTATGATTAATTTTACCAGAGATTATGATCTAAATTATCTCTAAAAGGGGGCGATACGGTAATTGTGCTTTAAATTAATATAGTTGTACAATCAAAAGTGGACTTCTATTTAACTATCTTCGTTCATGCGTGCATAGATTATATTAAATAAAAACAATAATGACATTTTTTAGTACATTACGATTATTCGTTTATCACGTTCACTTACGTACTATAGCAATTACGTAAATATATAAACTATTAATATTATTTCGACTATATCGATATAATTTATACACTAATTAATCATTATAATACTACATGTAATATACTATAATTATCTGTCATCTAAAACAAAAACATTGTAATAAAAAATATTAAAAATAAAAGGTTTCTTTTAATACAACATTGCATGTCATCTAGCCAAACATTGTAGACTGTGAAATTCTTACACACAATATAACACATGAATTGATACATGGAAGGTATAGCTCCTTCTTTTAACACTAAACAATTTGTGTTTAACGCAGAAATCAACCGATTGTCAATCTCAGTTTTTCAGAAATATTTTTCATCTACCACACGAGAACAGTATCGTCAAAATGATGAAGATATCTGCCTATCCTCAAATTTCATCTAGTGAGGTTGAGACTTAGCAAGGTGGTCCAGACAAGAGATTAAAGCTTTATTCACGGGATTGTACGAAATCCCGATATTCATAATCCAGACAGTACATAAGCCCGACTGACAAAATCCCGAAACACCAAAATACCGCCTAGTACAAAATCCCGAAACACTTAAATTACAAAATCTCGACAGTTGCAAAACCCTGACAGTTACAAAAATCCTGACAATTACAAAATCCCAATGATTAGGACTAAAACTGTCCTGGCATCTCTCTAAAAGTTATGTAGTTGAGTTTTATCTCAGAACCAAAGTCAAGAAAAAAGCATATGTAATTTTTAGTAAATCTTCACTATAGCTTATATCGAGAGAATAATATATGACTTCACTATATCAAGCGATAAGTTTAATCTCTCTGATAAATTCTAGAACGATACTTCACAATGTAAACAAAAAGAAGTATATTAGTCCTCACGGAAGTTGATAAAATTCAGAACTTAATTACGTACAATTTTTTCCCAAGTAAATTAAGATTTGTAAAATTGTTGCAATATATTGTGGTTAGGTCCTTTGATCCAGAAAAGGCATTGTAATTGATAAAACGGCATATTGATTGATTGCAAAGCGCTTTGTGTTGAACAGTTTAAGGCTCTTAGCAAGAAAAAGCAATGATTAAAAATTAATAGTTTACAATCCGTCACGTAAAACATATAAAACCCAAAACCACCTCACCCAAGAACCCGAACCTATTCAAAACTGACCGATATCCGTAGATATCGGTACAGGAATTAGAAACTAACGCACACCACTCAGTCCATTCACTCTCCCCAACCCACTAAATCATCTATTACGCCTAGTTGAATTCGTAGAGATAACAGATTGAGATTCTGTATCCATTTCATTGTAATGGAACACGCGATCAAAGCTTTCTAGAATTTTATCTTCGTCAATATCAGTCCAAACAAAATAAAAAAGTACTTATTTTGAATCAGAAGACCTCTAATATTATTTAAGAATATTTTGATAACAGATTACTTTAGTCAATTATTAAAACTGGGTAAATTTTCAATTAGTAAATTTCTCATATTGAAGAACTTTTTTTCTATGACGGATCCAAATTTGGACTACTAATTAAAATGATATATTTTACGAAATCCGCCTATGTACCGATTCTTACAAAAATTGACTCAAAATTTATTAAGATCCTGAAGGTTCAAATTTCCGCTAGGAGCATTAATTCGACCCTTTATTTACTAACAGAGATTTGAAACTTCAGGATCTTAAATTTTGAGCCAATTTTTTGTGAAATTGGTACACATGCAGATTTTATAGAGTATAACATTTTTAATTAGTGATCCAAATTTGAATTCGTCATAGAAAAAATGTTCTTCATGGAGAAATTTACTAATTGAAGATTTTGATTTAAATTACAAAATTAACTAGAATAATCTGTTGTCAAAATATTTTTAAAAAATACTAGAGGTCTTGTGATTCAAAATAAGCACTTTTTTTATTTTGTTTGGACTGACATTGACGAAAATAAAAATTCTAGAAAGTTTGTATTTTTGTTGTTTCATAAATATCATTCAAGTTTGGATCAATATCAGTGACACTTTAAATTTCGTAATGGTTGCCATGTTTTTCACAAATGAAAACATTACGTATTAATTTAAAATCAATTCTCAAATTTTAAAATTTTAATCGATTTCCAAATTTTAATTGATTCTCAAATATTAATCGATTCTACAAAATTAATCGATTCTCAGAATCTATTCCTATCCAGTCTACTGCATTTTTTTCGCAGTAATTGATTTCTGCAAATACTGTCATGCGACGTGGACAATAACATTAAATATACGAACATACAAAATCGGTCGAATTTTTTAAAAAATCGATTTTGTATGATCGTATATTTAATGTAAGTAGCTTTATTGGGTTGGACACCCTATGTCTGCAAATTCTGGATTTGCAGTAAACTGGACACCCTAGTTCTGATTAATAATACGTACATGTATATTGTGTAAAAGATTTACAAAGTATTTCAATATAAATAGAATTGGATATTGATAAACCTATTAATAAAACTTTCGAAATATTAGCAACACAACACAGTGGTATTAGTGGTATTGTCGTAGTTGTTTTGATCATAATTCAGAAATACAAAGGCAAAAAAGAATTAGTAAAATGGGAGATTGAGAATAATTGATAGTAAAAGAAGACAATAGAACAAGTGAATTACTTTGACTTTCTTGCATAAACAATAATATTAAGTGAGCGATTTTTTTTTTTTGGTTTTTTAATAATATATATGAATCTATATTTTCAAAAAATGGGGAATTATATTAAGTAAAAAATTAAAAGGAAAGATGAAAAATAAAAGTGAATGAAAAATTTATCATCTAAAATAGTGCACTAAGCAAAAATCTCAGAGGAATTTTATATATAATCCTAACTCTAATTATAACTCCCATCATGTTGAGAAACGTTTTTTCGAGGAACTTCTTGTCAGAAAATCTCCATTCGGGTAAACATGATCTCAGGAAAATTTACATTCGGGGAAACGTCACGTCGGGTAAATGGATTCGGGTAAATTTACTGTTGGGGTAATAGACGTCGGGGAATCAAGTGCCTCCCCTAAATTATATATTATGAATCTTATCTTCATTTAGTGGATCGAAAAGTCTTCATATTTCAACTGGGGAGATTTAATTCCTGATTCAGGTCTTAAAGATTCAGTTCTACAGAAAACAACTGGTCTGACTCGTCATAGTGATTATGCTGAGGATGAGATTAAAAAGAAAAATCGTTTGGGTCAAAGCCCCGCAAACATGTGAGATTCATAACCATGTTATTATTATTTTTCGGCACCAAATATATTGTCATAGTATATTACAGCTAACAATGTCATTTTGGATCCGTGTTTCATTATTCTGATGAATTGGGATGATAATTTGAAACTAAAAATACCCTTTATTTAGACATCGTAACTAGGATACATAAATATCTTTTATTGTGCCAAAATATTTCAATTAATGCTTTTAAATTTTGGCAACAACTATACACAAGTCACCCGTTAAATATCAGACCACATGGATAGTCCAACCCACAGCTAGCTCGTAAACGGGTTCGACGAGATTGAACTAACAATGAATATTATCAAAAGTTAAATATAAGGGAAAGAATTTGACGCAAATGCGGTAAATGAAAACAAAATTGATTTAAGCTAGTATTGCGTGAACTGCCACGCCA